CGCCCCGGGCAGGCGCGGGCCCGTGCGGAGCAGGGTGCGGGTCCGCGGGGAAATGACAATTGCTGTGCAGTGAGCTCCGCGCTGGAGTGCTGGCGGGGCGAGGGATGGAGATACCAGGCTCTGTAATGGTTTGCAAATGTAAACGTTGTGCTAATGCTGATTGTCTGCCGGTTAGCGCTGTACTCAGTTCGAGTGCCACATGACCACAGTACAGCTAGCCGCGGAAGGCCGTTGTAAAGCTTTATTCACGCTAATGGCAGCAAAGTCTGGGACCGGGAACAGTCTTAAATCTGCGTTGCAAAGGTTTTTCTAACTTCAAAGGTGGTGCTGCTCTGACTGGGCCTTAGCTCCCCTCTCAGCCTCTGTCACTTAGCTAATGTTGAACAGAACTCGTTGCCAAGTTATCTGTGGAAGAAGGGAAACAATTTTATGCGACTGTGCAGGGAAAGCCCTGAGCTTCCCTCTCTGCCCGGTCTCTTCTGACGCAGATTGATAATCCTCAGGCAGGGATGTTCACACTTCCTCCTGCTACCTCTTCACACTCTTAGAGCAAACGGTTACAGGTTTTGGCTCACAGTAATAGAAATCAGTTGTATATGGGTCACTGTGACCTGCTGGTGCTTCACAGGTGCTGTGGTTTATCTGGCTACTACCTTTTGCTGTTTTCTGAATAAATGAGTTTCATGTAGAAATATGTGCGAAAGCTAGGTTTTACTCCTTGTCCTTCCTAAGACTTAAACTGGCTGTTCGTTGATGTCTAGTGGAAGACAGAGTGATGATTCCTAACTGCAAGTGCCTGTGGGCATATAACCTACTGGAGCCGGAGCTTATGCGGTGCATATGAACTGAAAACAGGATGATGGAAGTGCAGTGGGCTCAGCTCCATCTCAACAGATGGATGTGAGTGTGTGCCGCCAAGAGAGCATGTCACATATGTCTGTTAGGGCAAGACCCCCTGCCTAGATCATCTAAACTGCTGTCTGTCCTGATTTTTGACATGTCTGTGCTTTGGGGGTGTGGCACTGCTGCATCATTTCTAGGCTGGATTAAATTCTGAAAATAAACTATAAGCATTGTGGCTAACAGTGGAGATAATGTAATGGAATGATTTACATCCGTGAAAAGGGTAGTGGAATTCGGGAAAATATTTTGTGGAGATCTCCAGATGGAGACTGATGCTAAGAGGTCTACAAAATAGACTAAACCGAAATTTCCTGTTGTGATATCTCTCCTGTGCACACTGGTGTCTGTGAACAGTGCCACTCCGTGGCAGCTTCCCTTCCGGGAGCAGTCTCTGTAGAGAGTGCAGGACCCCTGTTCTTGTTCATAGTACTGACTTAATAAGGTATAAACCAGCAACTGCTTTTGTCTCCATATGAGGGAGGCAACTAACTTTGTATTTTGGTATGGTCCTCTGTAAAAATAACGTCTTTTTACTCTGCTTGAATCAAGATCCCTTGAAAAGCAGACTTCTACATGGTTTATTGTAATTTCCGTACATGTGGCAGTTTGGAGCTGCCTGTAATTAATTACCTATCAGCCACAGCATGGCTCAGGAGATAAGCACCTGAAAGACTGGGCCCTTGAAGTTCCTGATTCTGGACCAGAACTCTGAGACTTGTTACCATTAAATGTCTCTTTGGTTGCTTTTGTGAAGCAGATTGCTGGTTGCCATCCAAGCCCCCATCACCGGTGTATTTCAGAAAGACTGTCTGTGCCAGGCACTTGGTTTGGAGCAGAGAGAGACAGCTTGGTGTAGAGGCAAGAAATGGATTTACCTCCCCTAGACATGAAGTGTTGCTCCCTACCTGGAATAAAGACATGTGCATAAAATACTAACATGGAAGTCAGTGTGATGAGAACTTGCAGGGATGTCGCTTGCTTTTGTGAGGAAATTGAAGACTCAGGTCTGCAGTGCTGTCACTCAGGTTGGATAAGCACTAAACTTTCTTCAGAATGTCTGAAAATTACATACTTGGGCTTCAGAGTTTCCTATTTGTATGTTAAAGTAGTGTTCTTTAGAGGTATTTTAGGTACAGTAATTGTTCTCAGTAAAGAATGCAGTCTCTATGTAGGAAATACTTTTTTTTTCCTCTTTTTTTTACCTCTGGAAACTAGAAGCCCTGTTTTGAGTCCACTCCCTTAAGGCAGTGTCATAGCTGTAGGGCCATCAAATCAAACTAAATCTTTGTTCACATAGGTGTATAAGACTGCAGGATCTAACGCTCTGTTGATGTATGAATTACATATATGTATAGTAGCATAATACATATGCTTTGTTATCCTATTTTGAGCTCTGTAACACACATGCAGATAAGTACTTGCACCAAATCTTTGTGCAATAATTGAATCATCTCATATATTTACTCTCAAAAGTCTTGAGCATTTGTAAGTCTTTTCACTGTACACAGGGATATTTCCTCTGTATAAAAGCAGAAATATGCTTAAACAATGGATTTGCCATCAGTGATTGAGAACATTCTCATTTAATACACTGGAGAGCTCTGCCTAAAAGCTGATGGCATGGCACTAGCCACAGTGTCCTGTATGAATTGGGTTCTAATCCTATTTTCCTTGCAATAAAAGTCTTCCCAATATGTTCAGTGTAGTAAGATCTGGCCTCTGTGTGCTTGTACTCCAATAAATGTGATTATAGATCAAATGCTGCTTTCAGATGTGCCTGCAGGGCTCTTGTTGACTTCAGTTGGAGTCCCAGTCACGCACCGTGGAAAAATGTGATTCTTTACATCTTCTAGTTGAACTGAAACAAACTTATTCTAATAAATGTGTCTCCTTCTGAGATTCTCTACAGAGCATAGAGTCTCATTTGACAAACTAGGTATAAATAGAAAAGCCATAGTTTTGGACATGTCATCTGAAATTGTATTTGGTAGAAATTTGTGATCAGCATTATAGGTATAAGGGAATAGATCCAGAGTAAAAGAAAAATTGCCCAATATGCCAGAAATATTAGCTACTCAAACAGAATTTTATCTGTAATGTTTAAGCTACCATATAAAAACTTAGTGCTGTGGTCTCACGAGAGTCAAAAAGATTGCTGCTTGTCTGCTGGTAAGGTAGATGGAAGTGGAAACTTAGAAGATGTTACTTAGGCTGCAAGGAGGCAAAGATCTGCTAGTAAGATCATTGGCTTTAATACTATCAGGGAAGGAGTTGTCCATATGCTTCTAAATGAAAATCGTATTTAGCTTTCAGTTTAAATACTTACACGCAGGTGGAATCTTTTGCTGTAGGAAAAACATCATGGTGAGCAAGTGAAAGAGTACATCGAGTATTAATGTGTTTGGAAGTGTTCCTAGTTTTCACTGGGTAAGTAGGGAGGATATAGGAACATCACTGAGCAAGACACGCAGTGTCTCTGTCCCAGAAAGTTTGTAGTCCAAATGTGTGAGATGGGCAAATGGCAGGAAGAGCGATGACCTGCTTTGCTGAGTGTGTGGTGGCTGTGAAATTAAATAGGAAAACTTAATTTCCGATCTCTTAAGTCCAGTGCCTTAGTCATGAGACTTAACTTTGTCGTCTGACAGGTGAAGTAATAAACAAGGATCTTCATACTGACCTTCTGGGAGGCAGATTGGCTGTATCGTATCCTACCAAACTGTCCAAAATGAGTGCCTGTGTATTGGCTTGGGGGCAATTTTTAGTTTAACTTCTGAGCAGAATGTAGATCAGACACTGCAGCTTCCAAATTCCCTTTTATTTGTTTGATCTCTAGCCTCAAAGCTCTGAAGCGAAAGCTGTAAATAAAATAAACAAAGATGGGAGTGTGAAACAAGAAGCTGTGCTTCATTATGCCCAGAGTGCTCTAGGAAGGACACAGGCAGACTCATGTGTTATTCAGAGTTGCAGTGTTCACAGCAGGAAGAAAGTAAGTCTTCACTTCACGCCTATCCCCCTCTCCCCCCCTCAAAGCCTTTTATGTATGAGGCAGAAGGAAGTCTGCTTGTGGGCTACATGGCCTGAGATAATAAAGCACCTGGACCCAATTCTGCAGTCTCTGTGTGTGTCAGCTCCCGGTGATGCTCGTAAGGGCAGTACAATGCACGAAGTCAAGCTGTGGCAACCTACCTTGAGGCGGGACACCACATGGGAATGTGTTAGATCTCCATTGTGCACTGGGAAGCAAAAGGTATTTTTTTTTGCAGCTTAGAGACAGGAAAGTAAATGAACACAGTGTCTTCTTGAGTGTAACAAGCTGTGGCTGGTCAGAGGGCCTCTGTCTGAAGTGGCTGTGGTTGAGTTTGGATTAACCTTGGGTTAGGGTTTGGGTCCAGGGCTCTCCTGGCTTTGTCTGAATTTGAATGACTCTGCATGCTAGTTTGAGAAACAGCACATGAAGCTCATTTATCTTTGGTAGATGAACATTACACAAAATAGCAAGAAAGGGAAGTCTGTGTTGCTGTTCAGCTTAGGCTCCCTACCCTTCCAACGCGGTAATGTCTGGGTCTACTTCATTCCCCCTGTGTTTTTTATGAGACCATACATGAGCTCACATTCTGTTGTTATTTGTAGCTAAATGCAACCTGGGTCACATCACATTTTCCTTTGCGTTAAATAAAGTAGCAAAACAGAGGCCGTAACTAAATTATCAGGCTGACCTCCTAAATGTCACTGAATAATAAACATGCAAAAAGAATTCTCATTAAATACACATCACTAGCACTTTAATATCTAGGCAAATTAGACTGCTTTGGGGACAAGTGAGGTCAAATATCTTCTTTTTTGTGTGTGTGTGTAATATGGATTAATTCTCAAACTGGACAAAAGCATGACCTGCAGTACCATGTCACCTCATTACCTAGGGCAGAAACAAGCTGTGCCAGGGTGGTTTTGTACTGTGGAAATGCAATTTATTTGAGTAACCTCCTTTCAGCGGTTCTTGCCTGTTCCCCGGAGGACAGACAGAACTGTACTAACCTATTCTGCTAAAGCCTGTGCAGTGTCCTTGAAGAAATCTGAATATTATTTGAACCTCTTTAATATCTTCAAGTTATAAAGGAAAAAATGTTTTTAAAAAGTATTACTGAACACAATGGGAGGGGTATGCCAGGTCTTTCTAATGAATGTGGAAGCTGTACCTAACATTGGTCTAGATTTCTATACAAGATTGATTCATTTGTGAGTGAAAATTAGAAATTTGTGTGAGGGAAGGCTGAGTCCACCCATTTTGCATGAACAAACAGCATTTGGGGCAGGAATATACATATGCTGCTAGTTCTTTATGTACGGATTCAATAGATACTTTCCAAAATGGAGTCTTAGTTTGCAGTACCAGCTAACTTAATCTATATATTTTAGAAGAGGCAGGTAATTGCTACACATTTCCCACTTCTATTACACTGATGCAGCTTTACTGATGTACAAAGGAACAGTTGAACTGTGTTGTGGATTACATGGGTCCCTAATATTCTAAGTGGTATAGGTAGCACTCATAGCAGAAAGAAATGTCAAGACAATCTTACTGGTGCTGGTTTTGAGAAGGGTATTAGTGGTGGTGGTCTGTAGTTGGAAAGCAAACATAAAGTAGGATCTGCCAGGAAATTAATCTTACAGTAGTCCTGTGAAGAAGGTGTTTCTTCTTTACATAACAGAGCCTGACAGGACTGTGCTGGTAATAAAAGGGGTTTGGTCTGGGTTTGCTGAAGCAGTGAGAATGCTGGCAGGTTCGCAGTTGCTGTTTACTATGTGTTTTTTAAAATTAGGTAATGGCAGAGCAGTCCCATATGTCAATAATAAACAGTTCAAGTAGGTTTGTATTGGAAAAAATGGGGTTGTCAGCGGAACGGTATTATTTGTCACAACAGCAGTTAACAACCGAGTATTTTATATTGCTAGGCTGTTATCAGTTGGGAGGCAATTTTATTAGCTGGAAAGAAGAGCAGTTTGGCAGAGCAGCAACTGTGCTCTGTGGAGAAGACAGTGTGATCGCAGCGCGCAGATCGTTGTGCCACGGCTGGAGAAGGGAGCTGTGCTAACAAAGCTCACACAGGATGACGAGTAGTTGCCATAATATCTGGTTTTACCCGGCGTTTGCATGGTTGTGGCTAGGAAGCAGAGCATCCTTGCTGAGTGAGCTGGGAGCAACTGCTAACTTCGTCATGAGGCAGAGCACAGTTAGTGAGTCCTCTAATGGACACCATCTCTGTCTGATATTTTATTGGCTGTGCAAAATACACCAAAGTGGTATAATTAGAACTACTTTACTACTTTATAAATCTTAAAATCAGTGTTCTAATCTGAATCCCTCTCACGCCAGGGAGCTGGAGATTTCACATGTAAAGAGAACACCGAGGAATATACCATGTCCAGTTTTTCTAAATAATCCCTTGCTGGTTTATTCTGTAAAGTTTTGCTTCCCTTAGATCTAAGGTACAGCAGTGTCTTCAGTTAGCTAATATCTAGCAGATCAATCACTGGAAAGGTTTGGAGGGTCTGTGTATCGGTGGGTCACTCCCAAAATGTTGCTGTTTGTTTATAGCAAAAAGGTGATCCTTTCTTTATGTAAATGACAGGCTCTGCTTTTTTTTTTTCAGGTGCATGCTCTCAATACAGCCATTTTCCTTGTGTCATTGTGTATTCTGCTAATGCACTTTGCTCTATTCTTTAAGTATGGACAGGATAGGGTTATTTTTTAAAGAAAAATCCTTAGATAATCTGCACTTGGATCTGCTTAACTTTAGTAATTCTGATTGGAGTGATAATTACAACTACACTGGCAGCTTGCTCTTAATCCTGATCATGTAACAAATACTCTAAAATACAGTGAAGTGAGAACTACAGTGTCTTGTTTGTTACTTCTAGGTTGCAAATATTTACAGCTTTTATCAGTTATAGAATGTGAAATCTGTGGTTCTGTCCAGTGTGACTTTCATTGAAAGTCTTTTCCTAAAGTGTCAATGTGGAGTTGTATGACCATATCCAGTTTGCCTGCTCTTTGCAACATAAGGCTTTTTACTTCTGTTTTTAATGAAAAACTTGAGACTATGGCCCAGTCTCACTTCAAAGCTCAGTAGCTGAAACCCCGCTACCGGTATTCTTCACCGCCTCATGATTTGGGTAGTCTGAGTTGTCCTTTTTGCTGGTTGTGTGTATCAGTATGCTGTGGACTTGCTCCCATAGTAGTGCTGAAGAAGGATGTGTAGGGCTGGCTGTTCATTTACCACCTGAACTACCACTAATGTAGTTAGTTATATTTTTATATGTTTTAGTTCAAAATTCATTTTCTACCAAATCGCATTACAAAGAATTTTGCAGCTCTCATTATTCAAGTGTCAGGGAGTGGATTAATGGTGCTTGGTTTTGTTAAGTTAGTTTTACATCATGGAACTGCAGAAAATTCTGGAAATGAAACAAATCTGTAGTTGCGTGGTTTGGGTCTCTTTAAAAAGATACTTTGTGAGGAGAGATCATCTCACAGATACTAGAGCAGAAATCTGTTTAAGGGAATGTACTGCAAAGTGGAGACCAGCTGCAGGGCTCAGGAGAGATACTCGCTTTTTAAAATGCAGACCGATACAAAGAATTTTGTGTAATCTATATAGAATGAATGACTCTTTTCAAGTATTCAGGATATGTTCCCATTTTACATTGACACTGTCTATAGCAGTGTTTCCTTTTGGAGCTTCTTATAAATTAACGTTGATGTTTTCTTGAAGCATGTGCTGGTGTTTTCTTGAAGTTTTTCCGTGATTTCTCAAGAGTGGCTATTTGGAGTGGTTGGGCGGTTTATCTGGCTGTCTCCAGTGTAGGACAGATCCCATGAGCAGTCCCTCCAGGGCCCCGCTCCATGTGAAGCAGCTCACCTGCTGCTTTGCTGGCATTTTGGGGGGACACCACCTTATCTCAATACAGCTGTTTTCATGGTCAGATGGGGCATTTGGAAGAAGTGGAGTGAGGCTTTCAGTAAGACTTCAGGCTGCTCTGTACCTCTTTGGCTACCACAGGAGGGAAGTGGGAATATTGAGGGAAAATGTACTGACTGTTTGCTGTATTGTGTGTTCCTACTTCTTGTAACTTTAGTGGGAGATGAGTTTTTACAAGCCTATTGACAATGAAACTGCATATTTTTCTGGTAACTTAAAAAAGAGAAATATTTTTGATAAAGGTAGAAGTATTTCTTGCTCTGTACCTCATATGCATTTTCTTACGTTCATCAAGTCCACTAGTTTAATGACCCCTCTTTCTGTTTGTTAGTAGCTGTATTTAATTAAAAAAAGTCTTGCCACGCAGACCTGCAACAACTGTTGAACTGGATCAGGTCAATTGTCCATCTAATCCTTTATCTTATGTCTAATAACGTCCTTACAATCTGGGAGAAAAAGGGAAGAGCCTCCATAGAGGGTAATCGAGCTCTTGACTGATTTGTATACTATATGCGTGTTTGGGAGGGATTGTTGTCCTAATATTTTGAGAACAGTTTGGCCTTAATGAGTCTCGGTCAAAATGAGCTCTAATGCGATCAGAAATCCACCTCAGTAATTGCAAGTGCCTTAAACATAGACCCAACTCCTCTACCAGTGTCTGTGTCTGCCCTATCCCAGAGGCACTCATACAGATTGATTTCCAGCAAAGCGCTGCAGTACTTGTGGAAATCAAGACTGCAGAAGGAATCTTTTTCTTAGCATTGTATTGGAACCAAACTTTTACTTCTGCATCATTTCCTTGCATGACTACAGCTCCCTCCCCTTGCCATCCAATTTCTTTGTTTTCTAATCTGTCCCTAACTATGTGATGCACGTGACCCATTTTTCATAGAATATGCTAGAACAGGGACTTTACAATATTCAGGGGTGGTTAGCTATGTTGTAGTTTTCTTTCTCAAAGTGGGGGTTAAGCTTGTCAGTTGAAATGCTCAGGGAGCTAGAAGATGCCCCTTCTCAAGAAAACAAGGTTCCACTGGTCTCCTTAGCACTGCTGTCATGCCTCTCAGTATGCTGCAGTTTCCCTGCCTTTCTGCTGTGGTGTGGTTTACCACAAAAACACCAGTCTTCTGTCCTAGATGGGCTTTTTCAGATGTCACATCAAGAACAATCAAAATTAAGAATGAGGCTGCTTCAAAGAATTTAACTTTTCTCGCATACACATTCTTCTTTTTTTTCACCTATGCTGAAAATTTGCATTGTGCTGTCCTGTATTCAGCCTCTGTAGAGTTATCACACTTTATATTCTACCTGACCTCTGTGTTCAGTCACCTGAGTTCAGCCCAACACATAGATAAGGGTATGGGCAAGTCAAACAGTCATTTCAGGAGTGCTAAATACTCCAGATGCAAATGCAATCTTACTTGAAATACTAAAACCTGTCGAGTTTCCAAAATTAGGATAGGATTGGCTTTCAGTTACCCTTGTTACATGGTATTTTGGCAATTCACTTCTAAGTACAGGCCTGAACATAGCAGTGGATATCTTAAGAGAGAAGGTGGACAAACAGTGAAACTCAGGTGTATTTGAGAAGACCTAAAATGAAGACACAGTTTTACAAAACTGGCCAATATCTTCTGCCTGGTAAAACTGGTTTCAGTTTATTGCAGAGTTTGAGGCTATGGTGTGGATAAGGAAAATGAAACATGGGCATTTTCAAGAAGGATATGGGGGCAATGCTGATAGTTCACCCAGCTGTGTGAGATTTACTCTCTTGACCTTAAAAACCTTGGTGGCATGAATGAAGGAAGAAAGCAGTACCAACTAGATTATACCTGCCTGGTTGTATAGAAATAAATACATGTGCTGGCTTCTATGAGGCATTTTTTTGAGATTAGTTAGAGAAAACTGTTCCAACATTTAGCATATCATAAATAAAAATGCATAGTGGGTAGAAAACTAATTTTGTCATTGTGCCTTCTAGGCAGGTTCAGTGGTGAGCAGAGCCCATGCAGTTGCTTATAAATAGGTGGGAAGTCACCATTGCCAAAATTAGTGACACCAAAAGGCAGCTCAGGAGCTGTTTCTGGTTGTACCTAGGCATGGTGATCCACAGCCAGCTGAAAGCCAGGAGCAGTGGGGACCCCATAGTTAAGTATTTTTGCATAGATTTCTATAGAGCCACATATTTAACAGGAGCTTGTCAGGTTACATGCAGTGCTCTAGGGTTTTGCTGGGAGAATGTGCTGAAGTTAGCACAGGCTCTGGATACACTTCTGCACAGCAGCCTGCAGAATTAGTGCTTGGTGAGGGCTAGGAGGTTTAAGGCACCAGTTACAAGCCTTTAAAAAACCCTGATAGCAAAAATGCAGTGTGTGGATTGTGCTCTAAGTACTGAGGAGTGGAAGAAGGATATATGCAGCTTATAAGATCATGTCTCAGACTGTGGAGTAATTCTAATGTGGTGGAGGTTATTATCTCTTCAGTTCAGTAAGTGTATAGTGACTTTAGTAATGGTGTCTTTTTAATTAAAAACTTCTAAGAAGCTCTTAGATCTGAAGTTTGGTAAATTCCCTTCAATTCAGTGGAAGTGCTCCAAATGTATGTCAGTGAGAGAGAATTTGTTTTATCTAGGAGGTTATTGCCTGTAATGATCCTTGACCAGCAACCCATATAAAACCCTATTTTTTCTATAGATACAACATAGTAGGAGCAATTTCTCCAATAGTATGTCTTGAGCACAGTCTAAAGTTTCTGGACTGAGAGAAATAATCAGTCGATATGGTCAGTTTGATCCCTCATCTCTTAATGAAATGCCAGGTCTGAGAGTTTTAATTGAACATAGTTCTGTAAGGAAAACAGGCTGAGGCTAACAGGTCACTGCATAAAAGCCAGTACAGAGAAATGTCTTGTGATACTACCAACCAGGGTCCCAACTCCATCATGAAGAGGCAGTCAGATTTCAGGCGTTACCCCATATTTCAAGGAAAACAGGCTGCTGATGTCTTTCAGCTTTTTATTATATGGGCCACTGCATTTTACCACTATCTCCGAAAGAGATATCAAGGGACCTTTCAGATTTTTTCTAGAAGAAAAATAGGAAACTTCTGGAAACTGTGGATTTTGGCCATTGGTTAAATACAGCTTGTAAAAGAATCATCCCATTTTTTGCATGTGTTACAAGTCACTTGGTTAATTAATGTTTGTTTTCAATTGGTTGAACTGTTTTAAGTCAGACTTCGCTGAATGCTGGCACAGAACAGTATTAAATAGAAAACTACAGTAAAACATTATTATGTTGTAAATCGAAAAGAAGGGTGTGTGATGCTAGAGAGCAATTCACCATACACAGAACGATTTGGTATTGTTCTGCTTAGGGGTAGAGTTTCCCTTTTAGCCATGTGCATATAAATAATTTAAAAGCAAAACTGTAAATCTGTGTAGTGATAAATAAGCTTACAATAACAAAACTTTAAATGAATATTCAAAATAGAAATTAAATGTTTTATTGTAAGCATCTGTAGTTTTTTGGTAACAATGTACTCCTGATGTAGAGTCTCTGGATAGAAACTGTTCTCGAATCTGGGTCGATTGCATGGCCATATCCTAGTGGTCGAGACCACATTCTGTTTGGTTTACATCTACAAATTTAGTGATTTACTGAGTAAAAGTCAAGACTTCCACTACTGCAGTAAAAGCAGAATTGAGGACACTAAGTCTAGCTTGCTTATAAACAATACTACCTATAATGAGAAGGGTTTGGGGTAGCTAAAAAGGGAGAAATTACTAGAAATTATACTTCCAGTCTGCTTATGGCAGAGGGAGGAGAATTCTGAAGTTCTGTGTATTTGCTTCTACTGCCTGAAGACTTGGAGCAGAATAGCACTGAATCAGTATGAAAAAATAAACTGATATTTGGTGTTCAGTAACTACTTTCAAATAATTTTTTTAAAATATATTTTAACTGATGAGATTCTGTTAGCAGACTCTGAACTCACATTCTACTGTCAAATTAAGATGATGGAGGATGTAAATTGAAAACAACAGCAGTTTCTACAAGAGGAAAAGACAAAAATTTGGACTGTTGCATTCACAGTTCTGCACTGAGATTTAAACAAAGGTAAAACTGGTTTAGGAATGATTTTAGTAAGCAGGCACACAGCCTCCATGGGGTTGTGACTAATACTGATTTCCATCCAAACCAGAAACAATCCTAACCTGGTGTCCTTTGCAGCCCTTCAGTGTGATGGTTGTAAGAGCACTTGAGCTACAAGAGCCTGTTCCTCCACGTTGAGTTCCTCAGCATTTCCAGGGGGATTCCCCCCTTACACAAATTGAGCTTTCTTTTTGCGTAACCTGCAGCATCTCCTCAAACTCAAGTCCTGTTCATTGAAAAAATTAAGTTCAGCCCTGGCAGGGAAAAATGGTTTTTCACTACCCTCAGGTTTGAGCATAATAAATACCTGCAGCTGGATCTTCACTGCAGTGGTGGGCAGGTGTGGAATGGACACAGACTGGGCACCTGTGAGCTGCGTGCAGCTGCCAGGAGAGTCAGCTGCTGCCGAGCTGCCCCTGCCATCCCCGGGCACGGGCACACATGGGCACCATCCTGGGCTGGCGATCTTGCAGCTGTGCCATGTCTCAGAAGTGAGAGGAGCCATCTGACAGCTTGGAAATAGGGACGTGCTGACTGGAGGTATGGGTCTGTTGTGCCAGTGACTGCAATTTGTGAATAAGCAGCCTGCCTTCAGGTACCACGTAGTGTGTTAGGCTCAGAGACGGGCAGGAAAGGGGGGTTACCTTCAGCCTTCCCACTCAGCAAGCTGTCTTCTCTTGCTGGTGTAGGTAGATTTGTTGTTAGGGTTTTATCCTCGCTAAAACTGTAGGATATAATGTGTTTGTGAATTGCCTGTATATTTTTAAGGGAACACAGGACCTGCTGGAGGAGGGAGGTCCCTGAGTCTGGGGAACGGCTGTCACAGCCCTGCTTCTCCCAGGCTGGCAGAGAGGCTGCAGTCTGGCAGGGTTGGCATTGGCACAGGCAGGCCTCCCGCTGCCCTCACCCTCTCCGTGCAGGAAGGGGAATGCTTGTCCTGCCTGCAGGTCTCCAGGGACAGACCCTCCTTGCACCTCGGCTCTGCAGGGCTGCTTTCTGGGGCAGGGAAGGCGAGTCCGAGCGGGCGAGCTCCTGCCTTGCTGCCTCAGAGCAGCGGGAGCCTTGGGGCTGGTGATGGTCCGTCCCATGTGCTGGCTGGGAACCTGAGCTTTAGCAGCTGTTGTGCCCTGCACACACTTCTAATGTCTTTTTACAAGAATGTAACGACTTATTCCTTTAGTTACCTGAGTTAATTGTGTCTGTTAATGATTTTCAACTTTAAAAGAAAAATCCTGTATTCATCTTAATGCCTTGCTGTTGCTATGTAGGCAGCCCTTAGCCACGTGCTTGTGCATGCAAGGATTTAATTAAAACCTTAATAACTAAATAATCTCCACACAGTCTAGGTTTCTACGAGATAGCACTATGGGGACATTTCTTGAGTTCCTCAATTGCACGCCACATTACTATGAACCATTTTTTGATACTGGAGAATAATACTCTAGCTTTGCTGGTGGGGTATATATAGGCGAGGAGGCAGCCTGAACAGCGAGCCCAAGAACAGTGGTTTGCTCAGGAACTGTTGGAGGTACTTCCCTTGATCACAGCTGAGAGTCACATCTCCTAGAGACCAATACTCAAGTATTTGCATTAGGGTGCCTGAAGTGAGTTTCCTAAATAGAAGTGGCCTGATTCCTTTTTCAGAGATACTGAACACAAAAACCGTTTTGTTTAGTGGTTTGGTTTTTTTTTTAAAAAGCTTTCATGCTTTGCAAAGTGGCTCCGGCAGTCACTTTTCCGGACGGCTGTCAGTATTTTGGGCACTGATTGCTCCTGTACGCAGGGTGTTCAGCACTGATGAAGCCTCTCCCGGGGTGCCTCCGTGCACTCCAGCTGCAGGGCAGAGCTCCGCCTGGGCTCCTGCTTTTGCATTCACCCCTGCGGAAATGTCCCACGGCCGCGTGAGACATCAGTCATGGCTGTGCAGCCCTGCGTTGTCATGTTACAGCGTTGGTGACAGCTGCACACACCAGTCCGTGTCATGGCTTTGGAAAGGTGTCGCCCGCTGGCACTTGGGACCCAACCGCTGCCGTCGCGGCCCAGTCCGGCCTTGTTTGTGCGGGCTCGGCCGGGGCTTGGGGTGTGAAAGGCAGCGATCTCTTGTCCTGCAGCAACGGCACAGGCTGCACCAGGACAGCAGAACCCCGCCGTAGGAAGGGGCTGCTCTCGCCCTTGCCCGCAGCAGAGCAGTGACGCCTTTCAGAGACGGAGCCGCCCAGCACCCCACGCCATGCCGGTGTCCTGGCGGAGCGTGGCCAAGGGACCTCAGCCTTCCCGCACGAGGGAGAGCACCCAGACTGTGGTGGCACACAGTAAATTCCTCCTTTTTGGTGAAGGTAACTAGAAAATAAACTGAACAAGTCCCTTAGTGTAAGTAAGTGAATACGAGGCAAGTGATTAGTGCTGCAGTTAGCTGCACTGCGGACACGGATGCCACCTCTCGCAGGGAGCAAAGGCGTCAGTATCTGCCCCTGCCCAGAGAGCTGCGTCCTCCCACTCCAGCTGTAAGGTTGCAGGCACCTGCTTTCCCTTGCTGGCACATACATAACTACCCCTGCGGCCCCATACACGCCACGTACACTTACCTCATAGAAGCAGGAATGGTCTTGTCCTCTCTGAATTTGGATGCAGTGACCGTAACAGATGTGTTCCACATCTGACCTCTGTTTTTCTATAGCTTCTGTGCACATTTTTAATTTAAAATTCTGCTCTTTCCTATAAAAGGTAAAGAAGATGTCAAGGTCTCACTGTTCCCATTCCAAATGAAATGGGTTCATGTCCTGTTAATCAAGGAGTACAGCCGCAGCATTTGTCATTTCCCTTTAAAGTAATGGGTGGTTGATACCTGTCATTTCTCAAGAAACTATATACCAGATTAAGGTGTATTTATAGAAATCTCAATTGCTGGTAACTTGGCTGAAGCCAAGTTTAGGCATACCATTAGTAATGCATAATGAAATGACCTAAGTGGAGTTAGATTTGGGAGGGGGAAGAGAAAGCTATTTGAGTTGGATAGCTTGAGGATGCTGTTTTACTATTAAAATTAAGCTTCTGACCCCTGGCTCTGAAGTGATAAAAATAAATCTTCCTATATTTCTCTTCTGCATTTAATCTTCTATATTGGAAAAGATAAAGAATAAAATCTTCTTCTCTCCCTTGTCTCTTTCTTTTCTAGGTACAGGACCTATTTATGCTACAGACCCACTCCTATATATGTTCCTGTTAATACTGCATAAGCTTGTACATTTATTAGTAAACCACTGACAGACTACTACTTCCACTCCTCCTCAGCCAAACAAAAAGGAACCTATTTAAAAACAGAACAAAACTCTGACAAAAAAAATACCTACAGTTTTAAAGATGGACAGAAAGAGACTGAAGGAAGCATGATAAATCCTATGTGAGGGAAAAAACCATATTTTTGGGGATGCCACAGAAAGTAAACCACATAGAATAATACATCTAGTTTCCAGACTCTATGGTGTAAAGGCCTGCTCTGTGCATGGCACTTATGATTTCTCTATTTTAATGTAATATTTTTTCTTTTCTAAACCTTTCCTCTGACTCTTCATTTTGCACGAACTGTTGAGCAGTTACCTTTATGACAATATGTAAAGATGTTGGGTCAAAGCCCTTCCTAAGAAAGGAAATATTTTTAGTAGATTATTGTGTTTAGGTTTTTTGGATTTCCTTTTTCTTTTTTATTAAATTATTTCTTTTGGAGGCATTTTAATTAAAAGATACATCTTACCATAATTAATATTCACTGTCAATAATATTTATTTTTAAATGAAGATTGGAACAAGGTAAGACATTTGTTTATAAACTGTATTGTATATTGCTGAATAACAGTTGAATAAAAAGATTTTGAAGTAAAGTTTTTACAGATGTGTGTGCCTTTCCCTGTGTCCTGAAGCTCCCTGAGAAGGCTTCATGGCTGTGTCTTCCCTACCTTGTCACAGCACAGAGAATTGAGGAAAGGTGCATCACAAACAGAACAAAATTGACATCAGTTATTTATTACACACCCCTATGTATTTGCAAACCCCACAGTGGAATGTGCTGACAGCTAGTCACAAGCTATAGCTGCATTTTCCTGTGGGGACACCAGTTATCTCTGGGCAGTTCATGCAAGATCTAGTCAGATGGACAGTGTGACAGCATGGAGCACTCAAGGTACGTTGCTTTGTTTTTTTTTTTCCAGGCCTCTTTGAAAAAAGATTAATCAACCAGTGGAAAATAAAAATTAATCAACCTGGAATGTCATATTCCCCAGACCTGGTTCCAATATTTATTTAAAATATACTCAGATTTTTTTAATTACATAATTGTGTAATTTATCTTACTAAGTGAGCTTTCCTCTAAAGAAGCTTTTTTACAGTAAATACAGCAGTTATTTTTCTGTTGGTTTTTAAGTGAGATAATAGGATGACTTGGTAAAGAAACATGACCACCTCTAGCTGAATTTAGTGAATTACTTTGAAATTTCCTATGTCTGACTGTGATTCTTATCCTTTCATTTGCGTAGCATTTTAGAAAAGACCTTAATTGTGGAAATGGTAAAGTGACAGCTACAACACCAGCAGGACTCTCTCGGCAGAAGCTGTGGAGCAAAAGCAGGACGTGCCATTGCCTCACCTCATACCTGAGTCCTCTTCTAGAAGGAGGGTAGGAAGGGATTTTCAATTTCTCAGATGGTCAGAATTTGCTTTTTCTAGGACTTCCAGTAATAGTGAGGGATTTGTGCCACTCACATCTCACTGGGTGTGAGACCAAAATGCATCTGTATTTCATACATGCTACTGCACTGTGGTGACAAAAACCCTTTTGTACTGGGATGAACTCACCGTGGGGATCCAGAGGTGATAAAATCTTTGTAAGAATTTTCATCTCCTTAATGCCAGCTGTAGTTATCCAGTGGATTGGGGAATAATTCATAATCATCCCACAAAAAGCAGAACTGCACCTCGGAAGGACTTGGGGGAGGTGTTTGTTGCAAGCCTGGAAGCGCATCAGAGCGTAAGAAACTGAAGAGCACGGTTCTTGGCTTCCGTATGAGCATGGGAAGGTGAGTCTTTTATAACCTGAGAGGAAAAGACAAGTGGAAAAAAAGATTTGAATGTCAGGCCATGCCTAAATTAATACCAGCATTCCTGTCTGGGAACTTGTTCAAGGACAGTTGTTCAATGCAGAGGTATGTGCGGAGTCCCTGATGTCATAACAACTCTAGTCCTTCCAGTAACGGCTGGTTGTGAAAGTGAAACCTGCCTGGGTTTGAACTGGCGAGCTCATCATCGCTGCTGCTTTTTTTCAAGGGCAGTGAGTATTTCTCAGTGACTCGTCTTCCTTCTCAGGGAGAGAATCAAAACAAATTTTTCTACAAGAGGAAGAAAATCTGCCTAAATTTATCTAAATAAATAGCTGACGCTTGAATCAGTGGAGCATGTCTATCTAGGAATAGTTACACTTCTGTTTCAACTTCAGCCATACCTCAGCATGGTCTCTCAGTAAACACGTCATCTACTTGATACTTCTGTTTCATCACTTACCGACTGCAGAAAACGTGGGAGGAAATACACCACCTTGCCTTTGTCCTTCTCTTTGTATTGTAGCCTGTTGCCTGCACAGGGATGTGGCAGCAACTGGAAGTTTTGCAATGGCAGGAGTGGAATTATCAATGTTTTTTAGACTTTAATCACATTAAAGGTGAAAAAATATTAAATCTGCCACTAAAAATAACTTTTTTTATCCTTTCTGAGATCAGAATTAAGTGTGCCACAGTAGGAATAGCAATTATTATATTCCAGTTCACTATAAAATCTCAGAACTACTAAACAATAACCTGAGGATTTGATGAAAAATCTCTTCTAACAAGAGCAGTAGGCATCTTTTCTTTCCAGTGAAGACCTGCACACATGCAGAGATAACTCATTCCCGGCACATGCGATAAATTCAACAAGGGAGCAGATTGCCAAGATAACCTGGCTCTACCTTTACTTTCGCTATATTTCTGCCTTCAAAAAGGTGCAGAATGAGTTGTCATGAGGTTTTGGGGCCTTGGTTTTCACATTCAGGCCAGCTTTTTTTCAAAATACACTGCCTACGTTTGTCCCTGGGTTTGCGTAGTGCAGGGGAAATAACTGGCTAAAGAGGGGGCTGCAGCTTTCAGTACAGTATTTAGTCTTTAAAAAGCACTTAAGGGAATGAGAAACATTTTGATGGAAAAATGTAAAGAATTTGGAGCCTTATTGCTTGTGAGTGTGTTAAGGACTTTGGCTAAAACATCTGTCCTTTGAGAGTGCTCTTTCTTCTGGAAAGGGCAGCTGCCTCACTTCTGCTGATTGTATTTACAAAGGGCAAAGTGAGGTTTTGCTGCACTCATAATGGACAGAGGCTAGTGGCAAATCTCGCTCTTTCATAAATCTCGGCATTCCTCGTGCCGTCAGAATCGATGAGTGAGTGCTTGGACTGTAGAGCGGCGGGAGGGCGGCGTGTCTCCTGCAGAAAGTCCTCCTGCGCTGGTGGCAGGGTGGGACCTGGCGTCCCCGGGCACCTGGGGCCAGAGAGGCGCTGGTCCCTGCGCGGGGCACAGCACTGTCAGCGGCTCTGCCTCGCAAAGCCGGGGAGCAGCAGAGAGGGGAAGCGTGAGTGAGGGCTCTTGGGGCCAGAGCTGAGTCATCTATAATATAATCATAAGGAAACACACATTTTTTTCCTGAGAGAAAATCGATAGAACTTTGCACTTTTCCTTGTAATATTTCCAGTGTGTGCCATCAGCCATAGTTTGCTCACAGTTATACTGCTATAAATTCACTGCGAGTTAATGGATTTCTACAAAAATGAATGGATTTACAACAGTGTAACAAAGCTGGTGCTAGAGCCATGTGCATGTAAAAATACATGGAACAGAAGTAGTTTTATAGCACACAGGTGACCTTCAAAGTGCCAAGACATAGCAAGTAAAAAGCAAAATTACCTAGTTCCTGGTCGTCTTTCCTGGCAAAACTCCCGAGGAAAATGAAGTCTGCAGTCCTGAAAACATCACTGTGCATGGCAAGAGGGCCAGAGAGCGGCCGAAGGGAAGACAGGTGAGCCAGCAGCTTCACGCTGTGATGGAGAATGCAGAAGACTCTGAACGTGTAATTTTTCATTTCCCGCATAAAACATTTTGGAGCCTAGTCTCACTTAGAATTAGTAAGTAAGTAAATAATGTGCTCCCAAACTTGTGTGTCAAAACTAGGTTGGTTAATGTATGAGCCACCTCTGTTACATTTGTTACTACACAGTAAATTTCATGCTCAGCCAGAGGCTGGCAAAGTTCGTTTATCCATTATTCCCAAACTTTGGGCAGTTATTATTCAAACTCCCCTAGTACATCTATTTAATAGAAGAGAACAGAAAATTGATGGGATCAAAAATGTTAAAGTCTTAATTAATGCTTTTAGCAAAGACTGATAGGAGGGGGTGTTGCTGTGAAAATATTAATTTGTACAAGCGAGGGTGCTGCCTGGTTTTGCAGGGAACAAGGAGGGCTCACCCAGCCCTGCCAAGGGAGCTCGGCCCCGCAGCCTGGGGAGCTGCTGGCCTGTGGGGACACCCTGTGTCACCCTGGGGGCTCTCTGCCACCCCGTAAGGGAAAACAACAAGTGCTGCAAGCCATGGGAGTGCTAATACCAACATGCGCAAATTATTCCTGATTAATAAAGAGAGCATTTAGATGGTAAAACATTCACTTACAGCAGAGAAAAGATGTACGTTTTTTTTCTTCTTCACCGTTTTTGGGCTTCTGTGGTGTTTTTGTCTCCTGGCAGCCTTGTAGTACTGCAGATCACCGAGCTGCAATGCAGGAGGCTGCCGGGCAGTGGGGGGCTTCGCTCTCCGAGGAGATGCCCTGAGGCAGAGCCTGGGGCTGTGTGGGTGCGTGGGACAGGTTTGGGGTTTGTTCACACAGGAGCAGTTACAGTTATTCCATAGGAAAAATAATGGGCCCTAAAACAAAGGGAACGAGAGAAAGGCTGGAAAAATCCCAGTGAGGCAGGAGGGCAGCTGTGAGGGATTCCTGCACCACCCTGTCCCACCCCAGCACAGCAGCAGCGCCCTTCTCTGGACATGGCCCTGTGGCTTGACAGGGGAAGGGAGGGCTTTCTGTTGTTGTTTTTAGACCATGTGTCTAAAACCCAGCAATCTCTGCTGAGTAAAGATGGATATTATTCTAAGTGGAGCCAGCAGAGGAAAATATGTGGTTCAGATCTGCATCAATGACAGTATAGAATATAGCAGTGAACAAGATGGCTTTTTTTAAGCATCCATGCTGATGTCAATGAATGGATTGAAATCGCCCCCAGGTGACTGCCAGCATTTTAATTATACCAATTATGGACATTCTAAGCAACTTCCAGTTTTATATTAAGAGTCGAATTGAAGAGGGCTGCGCTGTAGAGTTGTTAATGGATTTCCTTGTTTGTTGCCTATAGGTTTGGTTTCCTGTTATTGTTAAAATGTTTCTTAAATCTCATATGGAAAATCATCTGTAGTTTAATACAAATTAAATGACCAAGGTCTTGATAAATAACTCAAAAATGCTTACAGTTCAGTTGAGGATTATACCTTCCTAGTAGGACATTTTTGGGATTTACTCTGGGGAAGATGGGAAGGGGGTCGGGTTGTTGGTTTTTTTTTTCCTATTCCATGACCAGATCTGTCTAAAACTTTAATTCATCTCTGTATTAATAGCCTTGAAATAGGAAGCAACAGGTAAGACTTTGGGAGTGTTATGCAGGATGAAAAAACACAGGACCACATAAAATGGACTCTTACTTTTGGATATTCTTTGTCATTTTCCTTGAAAATCTGAAGTAATTGATTTTTTTTTTAACAAACTAGAATAGGAATTCTTCATTACTAAATATTTTTCAGGCTTGTATGTTGCTTTGACAATCCAGCAAGTATCATGACTCATTTTGGGTCTCAGGGTGATCTATGTAGTATCTGGGCAGGTATGGATATTTAGGCTGTCAGTCAAAGTCAGCTGTTCTGGCAGAAATTAGTAGGATACGTCTGATTGCCAAGTGCTGTGTTTCTTACAGTAGTTTTTAATTTCAGTTTTTTTAGGAGTGCTTCTGTATTCATAATCTATGGTAAACATGAGATTTAGCTCTCAATTCCCATGGTGGAGCTTCTTTTTAATGTATATGCTATAATTTATTTACTGTTATGGACAGTTGTATTTCAGTGCTTCCAGAGTTGTCAGAGTTGATCCAAGTGACTGATACCTGTCAGTACGTCATTAATCAGCTGTCTTTGCAGTTTTGAAAATGTGTCATCAGCCCCACCCGGAGAGCTGCTGCACAGTTAGGATGGGTATGAGGAAGGTCGGGGTCGGGACTTTGACACCCCCTTTGGGTGTTGCCTCACCCTTCCTTCCCAAGAAGAGCAACATGGTGCATTGCTGTGACCTAGCCAGGAGCAGCTTGGCCAGACTTTAGCGAAGCCTCTGACCGCTAAATGGCTGTTTGGGACGCGTGCCCTCCCATGGCATCAGGCAGCCCTGGGCTGGGCACAGTCTGTGCTCTGAGACATGCACTCACAGACTTTTGGGGCCTCCAGAGCATCATCAACATGGTGGAGAGGACTCTTTCCTTCTTCCTGTGCTTTCTGGGATCCCCTCAGAAGGCACCGAAAGCAGGACAGCAGGGGCTGAGCCATGGGCGGTGCAGCTCAGGGTGCTTCTTGCCAGGTGTCCCAGTGCAAGGCTCATCCCCACCCGCTCTGCTCCAGCAGGACAGCCACCACCTCTCCCCCAGCTTCAAGCCAGCGAGGACAGCAGGAGCACAAGGAAAAGCTATCCTCCGGTTTAAAAGCCTGCTTTCCCTAAACTAATCCTGTGTCTCCAAGAGGGATTAGGAAGTTGTTGAAACACCCCACACTGTCACCCTGAATATACATTGCTCCAAGCTCGGGACAGCTGCCTTGCCGGGGCTCAGCCAAGCTGTGTGTGAGCTTGCGGATAAATCTTTGGACAAAGATATGGTGTGCACACCTAAATCCAAACCAGGGCCAGGAATAGCTGTCTGGAATGATGGTCTAGACCAAACCAAGTCTATCAGTGATACCTGTTACATTGAGGGGAATACAGGCACTTGAGAAAGTGCACAACAGAAGCTAAAGCCAACAAATCAGACAATGAAAATGTACAGTTTGATTAAGGAATCAGTTACTTTTTGATATTTACCAGATACACTCACATTTATGCTAATTCAGTGCAAGATAGTAAAAATACTATCATTCAGTGCTACAAATAATGATAATAGTGTAATCCATTTATAAAACGCATGGATATAATTTCAACTTTTATAGTATAGTGTTATGAAAGTCTCAAATTAGTTAAATGCCCAGCAAGGTGCTAATTGCAATCCTGGTTAAAATGAACTTCAGTTTATGGGTAAGTTGCTGGTTGAGCTAATGACTTTGTATCCGAGCTAGCTGAGTCCACTGAAGTCAACAGCCAGACTCCTTATAAAGTGAAATCTTTTCATAATTAATAACACCGGCATTTCGGTCTCCAGAGAAGTAAGCAGGGTTTGACAACACAGGAAGACCAAAACTGGGTACATACTGGTGCGTTGATCCTGTTGTGGGTTTGCTGGTGTGGCCACCTTGCAGTTTTTCCACATGTAGGGAGAGACAGAAGGCAGCTCGCCTCGCTGCCGCCAGAACTGGAGGAGCTCAAACCCAAGCACATAGTAGTGAGCAACACACACCCCGCATCTGTCAAAATCTGAACTGTAACGTGATGTAATGTCAAGACTGAGTCAATGGAACTAAATCCGGCTTGCTGCAATGTCATATGTGAGAAATTGAACTTTTCTGCAATATTTTTCAAGAACATTACATTTCTTTATTAACACAAGGGTTAATTATTTTAAGACCAGAGTTGTCTTACGCTACTTACGCAACACTAAAGCATTTTCACTAAAGCAAAGTCTCAAAAGCAAATGCATGGAGCTTGTCTGGGTTCAGAAAGTGTGTGTCAACATGGTCGTAAATGCGCATGGAAAAGTCAATCCAGCTTAGGCTCATTTCCTGTGGTGGTTCAAGCCTTGCCACTGCAGGTTTTTGGAGCAGAGCAGCACCAGAGAAAGCGCTGCTCGTGTTCAGGGCCATGAAAATGCCATGTGTTCACACGGCGCGTTTCCCTTCGTTCAGCGCTCATCTGTTGCTGCTGACATTTACAGGGCTTGGGAGAAACATCCAGCCCGCTCGTTGTTGGGAGCTGGGAGTGCGATCGCAAAACGGTGAGAGAGGAGGGGAGACGGCCTGGGAAACCATGGGGACCGTTTACCTGAGGACGCTTAAAACTCCCATGCTGTGAGGTTTTGGGAGTAGGAGACAGACACAGTGCACAGCCTGTGCCAGGAATGTGCTCAGTCAGGTCTGCCGTCATGCTGAAGCCATGTATTTTTATTTGAGCAGCACTTAACGTTCCCAAAACAGCCGATGGAGCTCAAGGCGACAGGTGAATAAGCAGGAGCTGCACGATTTGCCATGGCTCAAAGTTTCGCTCTGCTCTAAAACAAGCTTTTCTCAGTGGAGAAAAAGGGGGTGTGTTTTTCTTCTTAATATGCTGAAACAAGTAGCAAAATAAGGTGTTTTCCCAAATAAACTCACTGATAATGATTTTCGTCATGCATCCCTAGCTAATTGGGGTGCGATGAAGTGCGTAATTCAAATGCTATCTAGCCTGAGGGCTTAAAGAAAAGCTTAACACTGCCTGCAAAGCAGAGTGGAGATAGCTGATGTGACAACTGCCTATCAGGAGGTTGCAGGCTTTCAAACGAGCAGGCAACATAGGTACACTATCTGATTGCAGCTTAAATTCTGCCCACAGTCGTGCCTGCCTGGTTCAGCGTAGTTACTCGATGGCCAATAAGGCATTAAATAGTCACAATGTACAGCTTATTTCAGGATAAAATATTTTAACAGCACAGGTGACTTATGCATGCATTAAGAAAACCAGGACACAGCCTACCAAATTTAGTATAGCTACAGTAAAATGTAACAGAGCAATGCTGATCCCAACTACTGAATGGTGACACCCGCCTTTTGCTGCACAGGAGAGAGTAGTTTTTTCTGGCTTGTCTTCCTCCCTCTCTCTATATTTCATGTAAATAGCATACATTTAGTATTCAGATGTTTGAGACAAACCCCCAACATTTGAGTGAGAGAGATGTGCCCGTCAAGCCCAGCAGCTCAAACCACCGTCTTGTGGAAATAGCAATTGCAAGTGGGAAATAGTCCCTGCTGTGCACCACCTCCACTTTGTTATACTTCAATATATTTTCATACATATATTTTTCATGTGCCTGGTTCATGTGACCCTGCCAGTATGTAAAAATGGTTGTTGACAGATTCTTTGGTTTTGTTTTATTATAATGTAATTTATGGGATGCTGGAAGTCTGCAAGTTTGCATGTACTTGACTGACATTCTCCTGAGAGTCAAAAAATTGCTAGGTATATACCGAGATTAAAATGGGTAGACGGCGTATAGCTGCATCCTGCTTTCAAAGTGCAGGATTGGAAGGCTTCCATTAAATTGTTATTTTCAGTTATTATTAGCTCCTAAATCAGTTAATATAATTTCTTTTCCATAATGAATGCACAGCATTGTAAGCATAAATGATCTAATTCCACAACCTGTTTAGTGAAATAATTAAAATGATTTACAGGGCTGACCCAATATCTTAGTGGTTTAGTAAATCATGTGGTGGGTGGGAGGCTCAGCTAGTTTTAAACTCAGCTCTGGGCAGCACGAGGACCTCGGAGCGGAGCCGCAGCGAGTGCTGTGCTGTGTCCGAAGGTGCGCTCCAAGCTGGCTTGCGGAAACGCCTCCTCCCCTGCTCTGGGACAACAAGGGATCCATCTGGTTGGTTTTCATCACCTCTGTTCAAAGCAGCAAAATTTCTTGCTGCTACCAAGTCAGAGGAGAATTTGAGCTGCCACCTGGAGGTAATGTATCTTCACTGGCCACTCAAACACCCCTGTTTTCTGCCCCCAGAACTGATCCCACATGTCCATGTAGACACCAAAAGGGGACAACTGTGGAGTCTGTTATTTTTACATGCAAGACAATGTGGGAAATGGCAATTTCTATCTTTTTTTGTTGTTTTAACTCCTAGGAGGACAACTATAAATTCAATCTCTGTTTAAATGCCAGGGTGATGGGAGGGCGCAGTACGATTCAGCAGTGGCAAGACAGAGATACACTAAGGCATGCCCCAAAGTCTCTTTAACTCTGGAAGTCCCTCTGGCAATCTCAAAGGGCCATGGGTAACTCCTTGGTTGGCAGGGAGATCTTCATGAAGATGATCTCCCTGGCACAGGAGCCCCTCCTGTAATGATACAGGTTCTCCTCGCTCATCCATGTCTCCCACAGCTCTGATGGGCAAACACACAGGGATGATACAGGTAGGGCTGACAAAACATCCCCGGGTTATTTTCTGGCTTCCCTCCCAGTGCTATGGTAACGCTAACAGCCCTCAGGACAGGGGTGGAAGGACAGTGCCTGGGAGGAGAGCTAGCAGCCAGCCTTGGTAGCAAGAGGCACAAGACCAAACTAAAGTAGTTCTGTGAAAAGCTGGTAGCAGCCCTCCTTCTCGGTCTGGAACAAAAGGGGCTGAGGCCTGTCCTCGTGGGGATCATGCCCCGCAGGACCCTGCCCTGGCCAGCCCCGCAGCAAGGACATCCCCTGGGGGGAGGGCAGGGAGGTCACAGACCCCGTCCTGGTCCATGGCAGGAAGGACAGAGCCCGAAGGTCTGAACTCGGTGAGCGTTTGAGATGCTGTTTATAATCTCTTCACTTGCAATCCCCGAGCAACCCTCAAGCTTGCTTTCAGCATCTAGTACATTTTATTATAGTTCTATTCTTTTGCATTTAAAAAAAAAGGAAAATGTCCTATAAAAACTTAAAAATTTGAAGACAGTTGTTGGATGCACTTTGCAGCAGATGTCCTTATCTTCTTTCCCTGACCCTAACCCCACCATCTTTTCTATTTTGCTTTAAATGGACCTGTAATTTCACAATGTGAATTCAGCTGGAACTATTCTTTTTTGTTAAATAAACTTTACCCTTTCGCTGACTGCTCCAGGCTCTGAAAAGAAACACTTCCTGCTTGTGACTGTTCCAAATCGTAGGTCTGAAATTCAAAAAGAAGTGTTGGTAAATGGGCTGTAATCACGCTGAAGGGCAAGCAAGTATTCCTCCTCTAAGGCAGAATAAAAGAAAAGAAAATCTGCTTTGCCTTCTGCTGCCTCAATGCTGATAATTTTACAGATCAGAGGGATTTTTTTAGAAAGAAGCCTGCAGCGTGTGTTTCAGAGCTGAAATACCTATAGTCATGCCCTTAACGCCACACTTGGAAGTGTAAATCAGGGTCTCATTTCTACAAGCACCGTACACAGAGCAGAGCCCCGTGCTGCCAGCAGCGGAAGGCCTGTGCGGTGCCACACGCTACCAGCAAGCCCCGGCAACTCTGGATTCACCACGGGCCAGAGCACGTGACGTTACTGGGGCAGCCACCCTCATCGCAGGCAGCGGTGTGCATGAGAGCGCGATGGCTGTGACAAATAGTATCATTGAAACTGGACACAAGGATCAAAAATTACTTCAGAGGGGGACCGTAACACACACGCACGCTGTCTGTGTGCACAGCAGGGTCACAGTTCCCTCGCTGCCTTCCGCATCAGGCGAACATCTCCCCCTTTGATGTCTGTCTGGCCGCAGAACTAGTTCTCGTCCAAATAGGACAGCCACAAACCAGAAGGAGCTGGGCAGCCCTGTCAACCGTAAGTGCCACATCGCGAAAGCTGACGGGGTCCTGAGCAGACTGACACACAGCCCAAGCTCCGGCGGCACCTGCAGTTCTGTCAGTGATGACCAGTGCACTTCACACAAGTCAGTCAGTCCTCTCCTGCGCCGCCTCTGTGCACCTACCAAAGCAACCATGGGCTTAATGTAGTCACAAATAACTGCGGTTCTTCCTGTAGGTGCGATCTGCTGCTGCAGCACTCCTCGTTTCATACTCATGGAACTCTTAGAAATCCCTTTAAACCACACCAACACAGAGTGACTCAAGCTCAAGCTATTTTCTAGCTGGGGCTCTGTATTACCAAGCTGTGGCAAAGCAGAGGATCCCCTTGCAGCTGTCTGCAAATGTGGTTCAGGTCAGTTGTAAGCCTGCGATTGATTAGTTAATTCTGTTTAGAGACTGTTTAAACATTTTCTCTCCCATTCTCACACACTGTTCTGGTTTTGAGAAGTATAAGGTGCTTACTAATCTCTACCACCTGAAATATTCACTGGCAGGATGAACACTCTCCCCCTCCTGCCCCCACCATTTTGTCCCACTGCAAAATGTATAAATTAATCTCATGCTAAAATTAACATATATTGCTGAGGCAAATGAGTTGGCATCTCCATGTCTATCTATTAGCTTCCAGCATTTCCTGAGAGGGCCTTTCATTTAATTACCAGCCTGACAGGCTAGCTCACTCCAGAACTGCAGCCACATTTATTACTTTTATCTCCTTGGACACCTGCCTCTCTCCATGGTTTATCAGATTTCTATTGAAGAGATGGACAAAATATTTTCCCTTGCACCAGGTTATTGTTTCTTTAAAAGGCACTTACTAGAGCACTGACCTCAGACAGGGGTTTTTTGGTTGGCTTTGGATGGGCTTTTTTTTTTTTTCAATTATGAAAGCAATCCAGCAGCATTAACCCCCTCACTGCCCCACCACACACCAACAGGTCAGAAGAACTCAGATTATGGCTAGGGAGCTGAAAGCCTCACGCTAGCTCCAAGCAAGCAGCTGACCACCCTGACCACTGCTCATAAAAACCTTGCCTGCAGTGGGAGTCAAAACCCTCAGATGCTGTGACTGCTCTTCATCCTCCATGTGTGCAGACTCCAAGTGGAAATGCTGAGGGACTCCTGAGCACACGGCTCAGTGCCTGCCATTGCAGTCCAGTGAGAGGGACCTGCCTGATGCCATCATCCTCTTGATGGTTTGGGCCACACTTTATATTGTCACTAGTGCCTCTATAACTGGCTGATAAAAAGCAAATGTAGATATAAGGAAGATTTAAAAATAAAACAAAGCTGCCTACGTGCATTACCAGCATCGTCACAGCCAGTGTTGTGGGTTATGCGTAAGCTGTCTGACTAGCAGCGCTCCGCAACAGCCGGGTGAAGCAGCTGTTCTCTCTTACTGCCTCGGGCAGCAGCTCAGGACACGGCTAGTTCAGGCGCTGACTGCAGCAGAAGGGACATCACCAGGCTCGTTCAGCCCAGTTTCAAGACAGTTTCCACTTGTTTTTCTCGGGGTGGTATTACTGGAATTTGTGGAGACACGTCCCGCAGGTAGGACTTGTGTGAGCTGGCGTGTTGTGACAGAGGTGTTCAAACCAGTAGTGCCTTGGCTTCGTGTGTGTGGACTCAGCGATGCATCTCGTTGGAGGTGCGCAAGCTGACTCATTTTATTAAAAAAGACTGGTTCACTCCAGCCTAATTGTGTTACTTTGAAAGAGCCTGGCAGGAACAGGGCCTTGCTGATAGTGATGCCGTTGAGAAAAAACACCTCATTACAGAGGAAAAATGAGAAATTTGTATTTGTTTAATGAATGAACCTTTTCAACTTTCTTGGGATTTCCTCCCAGTTCATAACTCCAGGCTCGCTGGCTGTTTGGCACAAAGTACCTGCTGGCACTGAGCTGTGCAGGTGGCTGTGCTGCAGACACGGCCCCGCATGGCTGGAGCCCCTTGCTCCTTCGTGGGTCAGGCCAGGGCAGCAGGCGCAGCCCTCGTGACCCCAGCCAGAGCCCCCTGAGCTGGAGGGTGCCCCCTCCCCGGACTTTGACCCAAGCACTTTCTGGGAAATGCAGCAAAAGTCCTTCAGTGAAACATAAATTATTTTAACATAAGCCTCGTGCAAAAGGCGCCTCTTCCTTCCTGTCACCTCAGTCCTAGTAAAAACTGCTTCACCTCACTCCAGAGCCCCGAGGCTGTTAGGCACAGCACACCTAGAGCTCCTGGTTACATTTAGGAGCTCACGGCATGTGGTCCTTGAGCATGTGGGTGGCCCGGCAGTGCCAGGGGGTTTGGAGGTGACCGGAGGAAGCACCCTGGCTGACAGGGATGCACAAATACTGCGGCAGCCACAGTGTGGCAGCTCCTTGAGGTATCACTGTTCCAGTGCACGCTATCACAAACAGTAACATGCAGTACGCAGCAACATGGTTTTGGCCAAAACTTACTACCCACGGGTAAAGTGCCAAGTCAAGACGGGCAAACCATGTCACAAAAGCTTGCCAGAATTTGACACTTTTCTAGAAAAAAATCTAAAAGTTTTTTTTTTTTTTTAATGAAAAGCCAACATAATTGATTTTTTTTGACCTAAACCCTATTTATTTGTATTATTTTAAAATTTTAATGAATTATGTTAATTTTATGTAGTTTAACAAAAACCAAATTAAACACGTTAAACTGTTCAATCCACTCTAACTCCAGTGACTATTATTACTTTATAATTTATCATTTTTAACACTGATTTTACATCATACATCCCTATCACATATGAGCCAACGTTAATTATATTTTTAAATAAAATATTCAACAAGATCTAAATGAGACTCAAAGCACAGCAAAAGTAATGACTGTAAGACAGATTGTCACAGAATAATACATGAATGCAGAATGCTGATATTAATTAGTAAATACAAGCTGTTAAGGAGCAGCAGTGGTGTCTGTCATCCTGATACGTGTTTGGATCATACGTGATCCCAGCATGCAGGGAAACCAAACAGTGCCTCAGCTCTGACTCGTCGTTACTGTTTTGGGGAGCAAGTGTTGCTTTTTTAGCACTGCTCTGTAAAGCAAGGCTAGGTAATTCTAGTTTGCAGTAGTTATCTCCAGGGGAATACCAGGGTTGCTCACGTTTTTAATACTTTAAGAAGGATATAGCTTATTATTTTGATGTAATTATAAGTGGTGTTTTTAAAAGTGGCCTCCTTAACTTGTGGTGAAATTGCATTCCTTCAAAATCCTCCTTTCACTGATAATTTTACTGTGATGCAGAAGAGGCAGGGAGAACTGGAGTCTGGGAGAACTGGAGTCCTGCATCGCTAAAGCAAGCTGCAGGCAAATTTCTTTCAAAAGAGGAAACACCTTTTAAACTTTCTTTTTTTAAAAGACTTCAACCAGTTAGCTGAATTATAACAGCACTTAGAAATAAGTCCAGCAAATTCCCAGCAGCTTGCAGGCGAGAGGCCAGGGCCCATCCGCGGAGGCGCTCCGGCGAGCCCCGCTCTCGGGCTGCCCTCTAGCGAGAGCGGCGGGGTGACACCGGCTGCCAGCGCCTGCTGCGCTCTTCCTCCGCACTTACACCCGGCTGTTGATCATTGACCTTCTCTGAAAACATCCCGGGGTTATATTGCTACCTGACTTCGGTGCCAGGAAGATTTATTTGTATTATGTTTCCAAGCGCTTTCTTGTTCTCTTCACACACAGAAAAGTGTCTTTTTTACTTACCCTGAAGTGGTAGCTGCAATTTGAAATGACAAGGAACCAGGATGGTAAAGAAATAACGAACCTACAGCTGGAAGGAATAGCTAATCAGCTGCGGGGAGGGAGGAGCAGACACACAGAACACACCTCTCATCCTAATACATGAGTTAAAGACGAGCTCATAAAGCAGAAAAACTTACAGAAGAACACACGGAAAAGAAACATTTGAGGGATACAGGGTACATCAGGAGATGATGCTCATTAACCAACCACAGCCATCTAAAATTGCTCAACCAAACCCAGAATGCAGGAGTTTGGGCTTCCACACACAAAACTTACAAACTTTTCTCTAGCAAACCTGCACTGATGTGAAGCAAAACCTCAGGCTACTGATATCAAATACTCTGTCCACCCACCTGGCTGAACAGCAGTTCTCACCCTGCCCACCCGCTGCCGCCCCGCAGACACAACCCCTTCCTAGACCAGTTTTTTCCAGGGAACCCCGAGTACCAAATCCCTGGAAAGGGAGGGCACACGGCGCACTGCACCGCCCTGATGTTGCACAGCCAGAACCGGCTGGAAGGCGGGAATGCAGGGTATGGCCTGCCAAGGCACCCTGAAAATGCAGGCACGGGGGTCTCTGCGCTCCCGGCCAGGCCGAGAGGCCGTGGCGGCAGGAGGAGGAAAAGGCAGCGGTGGCGGGGCAGCGGGGCAGTGGCAGCATGGCCGCGGGACATGCACAGGCTGGCTGCTCGCTGCTTCATCACAACCCATGGGAAAGGGCTGGAAATTGTATTAGCAGCTTGATAGTTGGATAGTGGAAATCAGATCAGAGGGTTTTAAATGGAAATTATTTTCACCAGTACAGATATCCCTAGGGACCAAATTCAGCTACTAATACAATTTGGCCAAGAGGAATAAACTATATTGATCTTGAAAGCTCAAATACCTGCTGAGACAGTCCTTCCAGGGAATTACAGTATTTATTTCTTTTATCAGTGACAATCAGCAAAAGTGTAACAGTGATTATAGCCCAGTCACTTTTTACACATGTCAATTAACTTCATGTATTTCTGCTCATCTCTTACTTCAGTTCTAAAATTACTCCCTTTTTTAAAGAAACACTGATCTTCTTGCATCATAGAAAAATCTTTAACTAACATCTTTGGTCACTGCATCACAAGTTTTAGCTTTCTGTGACTGTCAATATAAAGCTCTTTCTATAATTCACTCAACTTTCCCCAGGACGCTGCTTTTACCCACCCTGCCCTGCACACTTTTTTTTCCCCATCACTGTAATTCAACAGGGCCTACAGGTATAGCAATATGGCCCCCTAGTGCACACAATTAGATTGCGCCAGTGTAGGGGTTTTATTATTTTTAGAGAGCAATAAATAAAGCAATAAATAGATTTAATAGAATAAGAAATGCCAATATTGGCACCTATAACTTAGTTTTAATAATATATACTAGGGACTTATATCACTATAAACCTATTCCAAGGTGATTTACTTGAAGTAAAGAGCTTCAAAATTCTAAGACACTAAAACAGGCAGAGCAGGTGATGCTGCACATTTGGAAACACGCATTATAATTATTTTGTTTGCATATTTCCACTTCATTTTATAGTCACATTTTACCCATCTCTCCTCATTTCTCTGAGCCTTCTCTTTCTTTTCTACAAATAGTCTTTGCCTATTCTCTGGTTTCTCAGTTTCTTCGCCTGTTCTTTTTCATGTTTATGTGATGGGAGTCTCGACTCCTGACACGGAGCCTTCTTGCTGTGACACACACTAACGCGCTGATCTTGCTCCCTCAGACATTATATCTGAAGATAAATTGGGAAATGAAGATGTAGAGTTGTTGGAAGAGACTGGCTTCCCCAGGCACCAGTTTAGCCTGGATCATTGGATTTACAACACCAGCACCGCCAACACTGATTTGACTATTAATCCCTGAAGTGCCCTAGGAATTGCAGCATAAATCCAGTGAAGGAGCACTCATACGGCCCTAAAGACTCATAGCGCTTATCCCGGCACTTCATTCATGAAAATTGATCTTTTCTTAGTAGCAATGACAACTCAAGGAGTCCACGCTTTGTAAAACCAAGAGATCTGCTTGCTGTGGCAATGTACTTAACTGCCAGGAGGTCTGTGATACAAACCAACCTGTGCTCATGCTTAATACTCTGCAGAGACCAGCCCTTTCTTCTTTACACACATACAGAGAGAGCTACAATTTCATTCCCTGTTAGGGATCACTTTAGTGCCTTTGTGCTCCACAGCAGCACTCAACAAAATCACCGTGTTTCTTATATCCAGCCTCAGTAACTTCCTCCCTAAGTATCCTTTACCAAGCAGTGCTTAATTATCTGCTAAGCCACTATCCCTCGTGACAAGAATATAAACCTCTTCTGTATTTGGAGAACCACCGTGTCTGAGCAGAGGGCAGCATGAGCTGGGACTAATCTGGCAAGGAAAAGGAATTGGCTGCTCTGGTTTCAAGGTACCTCTGTGTTGTACAGTGAGCACAACTTTGTCCTATCCCAGGAGGTAAGAGGCAGTGACATATCAGAGAGGGTAAACCCCACAGCAAGCAGCATCTTCCTGGGTTTTGACCTTGATTGCTAGAAACATGGGGACAGATTTTAAACAAAGATCTCACATTGCTGGGTGTGCAAGTACAGGCACGGTACAGTAGCATTTGACACACTGTTAGCTACTGGGAACAGCTGAATGGGAGCATGCAACAGCCAGGTACCTGTAACAGCAGCGAGGGCCACAGCTGGAGAGGCCTTGAAGGACAGGCTGGGGCTAGGAAAAGCCCTCTCTCCTACCAAGAGAAGTGGAATGGGAAGAACTTTGATGCGGGGGGGCAGAAAGGGCCTGTGCCTGCCCACAGCCTGGGGAGCTCAGGCAGTGGCTGACTCCAGCACCACATTTGTAAATCCCAGGCAGGAGAGACCTGCAGAACAAAAGAGGCAACAAAAGGTGGGAGGGTGATACAGGATGGAAAAGTGGAAATGGATGCCCCAGCATCTCTGGTGGAAGCAACTGCAGGATGAGGGAGAAGTGTCGGTTGACATGTCCAGGCTGCCTGTCACAACACGTGTCCAGACTCTAAAGCAATGCTGTTACTATGGGAGGGACACTAACAAATCAATACTCGAAAATAGACTTGTCTAATCCAAGTGATCATACTGAAGTGGTGGATGGCTAGAGAAAATGAAGTGGCCTGCATTACAGAAGGCATGATTGACAAGACATTTTTAAAAGAAAGTTCCCCATGATAGTAACTGAAATATCTGGTGCTCAATTTACTCTCCCAAGTCAGAGAATTTGTTAGTATAAAGAAGATAAACAATAGACAGATTTAATTTTCTAAGACTGTTTCTTTGGCTAGATAGAATGTTAATTTTGCATCCTGATCTCTGCCGTCACTTGTATAATAATAATAACATGGCTGTTCAGGCACCTAACCGACGTTAAAGCTATTAAATAGTCCCTATCTAGTTTAATCTAAATGGCTAATCTAGCAATCTACCCTGGCCGCAATTTCCCCCTATGTATAACCTCACGGTTTCAATAAGCAATGTCACTTCCCTGTTTTATGTTCTTTCCTTTGAATTTTGGTCTTAGCAATGGCTTCCCTCTAAACCAGAGGCCAGCATGGTTTGTGATTTATGGGGGACACCAAGGTCTTTGGGACCCTGGTGCCAGCCATGGTAGGCAATAACCCAGAAACACTGGCACATGCAGGGAGGCTGCTCTTCCTGGGACACACAGGGGTCTTGGTTACCTCTAGAGGTGCAGCCTCTGAAATCTGAGGTTAAACCTGGGATTTACTAACTTAAACCAGCAGTGGGGGAGATGGTAACGAGATGGTATTTCTTTTGATATGCTGAAGTGTATAAACTCTCTAGAAAATCTTTTTAGCAAGGAGAACCTAACAATTTTTCCTACTTCTTTCGGCTTCCGTTTGCTGAAAATGTTTTGCCGCCCATTTCCCTTTGTCGCTTATGATTTATCATACAGCCCTCAGGCAAGGCGGAGGGAGAGGGCAGGGCTGCCCCTTACCCAGGCCTCCTGCACTGCCCACAGCTGCCTGCGTGCCCACACAGCGAGCCGAGGCCGGGTGCTGGGTACATGACTTGCGTGAAGGTCAGTTTTGAGTGTTTCTTTACGCCAGAACTCAACCCGGGTCCAAACGTCGCCCAGGCCTGACGCCCTGTTGGCCGGGCAGGGCAGGGCAGGCCGTGGCAGCACCATCCGCACAGGCCTCTGTCTGGCTTCGGCACCTCTGAGGGGCCCTGCGAGCTTTAAGCACTAGGGAACTGCCATAAGATATTTTTATCTCCTAATAATGGTAGAAAAAGAACCGTTGGGTGTTTATTTCCTGGAGCACCTTCGCCATGAGGATAACCTGACCGATACGGTTCCGCGCGGGGAGGTCGGAGGCGGCGGGGCGCAGGCGCGCGTCGCCTCCGCTGTCGTCACCAGCTGCGCCGGAAGCGCCGCGGCCGCCGCCATGGAGGGTGAGAGACG